GTATTGCTAAAAATGGATGGCCAACGAAATATTAAGTTTGTAATAGTTACCTGTAAAGCTACTTTATAAACTGTAAAAAAATCGAGGTCAATTATTATATGGATTATTGAGCAATTTAAATTGAAAGAGGGTCCGATACTTATTTCAGGGGAGTGTATGTGGAACGAAACGTGGAACGGAACGTCCTCAATTCTCGCTGATTTTTGATTGGCTAATACAATTTTGCCGTCGATCGGAACAGAACGGAACGGAACAGAATTGAACAGGCCTATTATATAAACCTCTTCTTCCTCATCAGCCAGTCCAATCCAAGTTAATTTGTTTGTTCACCAGTCATGTCCATAATCACCATTCGCAAATTCATCGATTGAGACCGAGATCGACAGTATCGCAAACCCATCGCTTTGAAGTTGGAGAAACGCTTTCGCTTGATATGAAACCGTTTTCCATTTTCATAACATTCTCGTCACGAAAGACAATCAAGGGATTAAACGAAAGAATCAGAGTTTCCATAACAGAAGCTCAATAAAGGATGCAAACGAACGACAAAAGGGAAATTGACAAGAAGTCAGCGAAGGCGAACGAGAATTCGAGTGAAAAGGTAACAGCCGGCAAGACAGGCGGTCAACCGCGAATCGAGTTTGAGGAAAAGTCATCCGTAAAGAGTCAAAGTCAGAAACGCAAAAAAAAGTTGGTCATCATCAGTAAGACTATGTTCAAATTGACGGCAAGAATAGTAGAATTGAATGATACTCACAACAAATTGAAGGAATCGTTAAAGAGCAGCCAGAAGTACATATCAGCGTCGAATCGAACAAAGCAATAAAAATGACGAGTCAACATCACCAGAGACGTGGGCCGGGGTCATATTTCAATGATCAGCTGACCGATCCAAAAATGGAGGTAGATTTTTGAAAACCTTTACAAAAACAACTGGACAAAATGAGCCGCGAACAATATTACATTTATGTTTCATGGAAGAACGGTCGGAATCCAACTCAAATTTACAACGAGTTAGTCAATGCAGAAGGAAAAGATGCACTATCACTTCGCACAGTTGAACGCTGGATTCGTGCATTCAAGGACGGATGAGAGAGTTTCTGACAAGGCTCGTCCTTGCGAAGCAGTGACGTCAGAAAAAATTGCCAAAGTCGACGAACTTGTTAACGATGACAATAAGAGGCTACGGAGTAGAAGTTTCTAAACAACTATTGGCTTATTCGATATCTTTCATATCACTACCACGTACACTCGCTACCAAAGTATTGCCAAATTTGTCGATCAAAAGTAAAACATATGAAAAAATCTAATTTTTCAAAAATCTGTATTGGCGTTATTGATATGAAGCTGATTGACTGCAGTTTTCGAATAAAATACTGATAAATTTACATACCGGAGCTGTGCTTCGGTGAAATAACGATATATAGGTGACACGTATGTAATCATATGAAAAATGTACTAGTACGTGTAACATAATTACTGCCACTTTATCGTACTGCAGCTTCATAATAAAAAGTTTAAATTCTTTATTATTTTTCCCTAAAAGTATAGTCAATCAGCTTCATAACGATGTAAAAGTTTGTTTAGTAAATAAGTATTTAAGGTGCTATAAAAAATTTTCTATATAATAGAACTTTGTGCCAATCATGTGAACATACAAATCAAATAAAATGTAAGGAAAATGTCGAACTTATTTATCTTTCCCATGGAAGACCTAGATAGAGAGCGAAGTTCTTTAACCGGTAACGAAACGAAGGATAATTTGCGTTATAAGTACTTTTTAAATTAAACTTTTTAAATACTCGACAGTGCCAGACAACCTTTGTGGAACCGCGCTTCTTTCAATTGCAGTTTCTTTATTATTTATCGTTGACTTTGTGGTTTTGACATAGTAATTAATGATAGATGCACTCAAAATTATAGTGTCAGGTGAGATTGGCTTCGTTTTGGTTATAAACAAATTACCCGTCGCACAACCGTTCAAAAGTTTTTAACAGTCAAATGAGAAAATATTCTGTAACGAAAAGCGATACAAATAAGCTAAGAATTTCACACCTTATTATTATTCAGATTAATTCTTGTAAAAATAGATCAAGGAAATTATTGTATACATTCAGGTTAGAGTCTGCTAATTAATAGGAAGTAAAGATATTGCGGGTGGGGAGAGCGCTTTTCTGAGTTTAGGAACAAGATGTTATACACAATATATTCTAAAGGTGACTAAAGAAGATCAGCAGCTCAAGAATGCGACAAAGCGCGGTATAATAATAATAGTGACAGTAGTTGCAAATAGTAAAAAGGCCGGGGGAGGACGCAATACAGGTTAAAATCGAAATATTCTATATAACATTGAATCCCTATCAAACCTTTCTATTCACCGATAAAAGAGGAGACTTCGTTCTTTATACTGATATCGATTTTCTTAGAGCAGTACATGTACGCACCTGTACAAACACTCGTAGCCTATCATTACGGTTAATATTATCAACAAACCTGTTGTGCAACGGATCTTGGTGTCTCGTAAAAAACCGTAAAAACCGTAAAAACCGTAGGGAAACCGTAAAAAACCGCAAAAAGCCGTACAAACCGTAATAAAACCGTAATAAAACCAGGAAACCGTAAACAGTCCTTGCAAAACCGTAGGAAACCGTAAACAACCAGGAAACCGTAAAAACCGTAAGAAAACCGTAACTAGGAAACCGTAGCAAAACCGTAGGAAACCGTAAACAGCCAGGAAACCGTAAACAATCCTAGCAAAAACCGTAAGAACCGTAAGAAAACCGTAACTAGGAAACCGTAGCAAAACCGTAGGAAACCGCAAACAACCAGGAAACTGTAAACAATCCTAGCAAAAACCGTAGAAACCGTAAGAAAACCGTAACTAGGAAACCGTAGCAAAACCGTAGGAAACCGTAAAAAACTAGGAAACCGTAAACAATCCTAGCAAAAACCGTAAAAACTGTAAGAAAACCGTAACTAGGAAACCGTAGCAAAACCGTAGAAAACCGTAAAAAACTAGGAAAGCGTAAACAATCCTAGCAAAAACCGTAAAAACCGTAAGAAAACCGTAACTACGTAGAAAAACCGTAAAAAATTAGGAAACTGTAATAAACTGTAGCAAAACCGTAATAAACCGTAGCAAAAACCCGTAGCAAAACCGTAGCAAACCGTAATAAGCTATAATAATAATAAATCAGGAAACCGTAAATGACACTCTTACCATATCATTGCGCTTACACTCTCAACCTAATGGCTATGCCCCAACATTATTTCGAGATTGGTAAATTTTTGTCAGTCATGAACCGCCATGTTGTATGGCTTGTTGTGAGTGTCAGCCATTAAAAAAGTGATTGACCTTAATCTGTGTCATTAGATGGACTGCTCTGTGTACCATGCGAGTCTCGGAGCTATCAATTTCAAAGTTGCCAAATGGATAATGGGCGAAGGGAAGACAATCGTTTATCACGAACACTAGGCGCACATCATTACTACTTTCTTCCGAC